CAACATATAAACTCATTCCCAAGACAACACTTACACGTGATATTATTCTTATCCCATTCCATTCGGAGTGCGCAGATGAAGCCTCCGCCCATCTGGTGTTTGTAATTAATGGAGCTTAAAGAATAGTCCAAATATACGGTTTTGATAACGATTTACATTAGGTACCCCAGTTATTTTCATTTTCTTTTGCTTCGAACAGAAAACGGGATTGCATTGCTTTTGCAGAATAAATGTAGGCATTCATTTTTAAACTTTATATCGCGTGTGATATATAGGGCCTATATATTTATATAAAAAGCATACGGCCTCGACATATAGTATCATTATCAGGGCGAAATGGATTAATGATAATTTCTTATGTAGCGTTGAAATCGATGCCTGGATAATGTTGCATTATTATTATAATTATTATATTACTATTACTACTGCTACTGCTACTACTACTACTACTACTATTATTATTATTATTATTATTATTATTATCATTATGCTAATAATGATCATAATACTTTTGCTATTACTACTTGTTAATTATTACTATTGTGTTAATGCCAATAATGATACTTATGGTATTGATAATAATAATTGATAATTAATATGATTATCATTGTTGTACTCTTGCTATTGTTACGCTGTGTCCCAGAGATAATCCCAGGTCAATTTACCATATTTCTTCAATTATCTAGCTCTCATCGCAATGTCACACTTTGACTCCACTCCCTCCATTATGCATTTCTTCCTCATGTTAATCGCAGAATCTAACCCCTGTGTCTCGAACCCCAAGTGCGGATTGAGCAGTAACGCTGACAACACTCGCATACTAACAAAGGGCTGCCGAAAATGGCGGGAAATCGTCCTTTCATGGGCGATTCGTCTTCTGACTTCTCCTTCATGGCTAGACATTACTCTGCGACTTGACTGATTGTGACTATTATTCATGGTGCAGCTACCAGGGCATCTCTTGTGATACATGAGGAGTTTTCTGTCGGCCGGAGGAGAGGCCGAGGCTCGTGCGATAGCTTGGGTTGGCCTTTAGGTGGGGGGGGGTAAGGCATTTGGCAGGATTTTGGCACACACACACACACACACACACACACACACACACACACACACACACACACACACACACACACACACACACACACACACACACACACACGCACACACGCACACACGCACGCACGCACACACGCACATGCTGCTATAAAAGTGAAATATAGTTTTACTTGTAGCATTGTCTGTGAAATTATGGTGATATCAATAATGTTAACAGTATTTCCAGTAATAGCAATCTTAGAAATAATAATAGTGATAATAGATAGTAGTGATACTGATAATACTACATAGGAGGATGAGTTATGGTGATAACAGTAGTATTGATGATGAAAATAATGATGCCACTAATGCTTTTTTCTTCTTTAAGTCTTGTTATTAACGATGCTATCATTATAGGTAATAATGATGATAATCAAATAATACCAAATAGATAGATTTTGACCAACCCTTTTACTAAAAATTACAATTTACTGCACTCCTTGCTCCATATGGTGTGTAGGTTGAAGCTGAAATGAATATCTGTAAATTTCTTTTTGTTTATAGCATTTATTACAGAGTGAATGATACTGATACTGTTTATATAATTTAGATGTCATGTTTTGTACGTTCATTTTACTACCAAGATTGTTTAAAATCCATAGTTACACCACGAATATATTCCGTTTTCTTTTTTGCTGTGTCGCGCTAAAAGAAAACGTACTTAGTCAGGCTAACTATTCTATATGAAAACTAACTTCCTTTTTACTCTCTTTCCAGCCAAATACCCTCGAAGCCCAGCGCCATGTATTCAAAGCGAAAAAGGTTAAAAAATCCCGGCCCTGCCATGTCTGCCACCAGCCGATTGTCAAGCTCGGCTCCTGTTGCAGAGGTGAGTTCTTGGCGATTGTTATCTACCAGGTAGAAACTCGAGAAAGATTTCTTATAGATTGAAACTCGAGACAGATTAAGAACAGTGTAAGCTTGCTGTGGGTGAGCACGGGAGAGTATATGTAATGAATATGGGCGTGGAGTAGGCTTAACGAAGAGATATTGTGGGTATGTTAGAATGTATCTCCATATTACTATGTCCTAGAAATAATGGAAAAAAATAACATTATGAACATCGGGAAGGATGGAGTGTATTGGAATGTTTTGATAGTGTTAGTTTTGAATATCATAGTGAAAATAAATGGTAATAATTGAATAGGCTTTATAGTATGTGTAAATATAGTGATCATGTTAAATGTGTTACAGAAAAAAGTTTAATTCTTTATACCATTCTTGTCACATCGTTAACAAGACGGCAACCGATAATTCATTAACTTTTTATGTTGTCAGAATTGTTACGGGAAAGACTAGACATGCTATTCTGCATCGTTTGTAGGTTTCTGTCGTTTGTGAATATGAATATTATCATCATTTTTCAGTTTGCAAATACCTGGTGCACAAGGCCTGCGAACCTAAG